GAGTTATCTATCGTTTTATTAGACGTTCTCGGGCTTAAAGTAAGTCCGAGAACGTCACATTTTCTCTATGTTTTTATTTCTTGCACACAAAACGCAAAACCAATTTTTATGATCCTCCTGTGCTATTCATAAATTAGTGTGTGCCAACGTATTAGTGTGCGCAATTAGTGTGTGCGTGGTTTAGTAAACCATTCGTTAACTTGAAAATTATTGATCCACATTTCTCAAATCCCAAAATACAAATCTTTTTCTTGACGAGTCGTTATTTATCCAATTACAAGATTGTAATGAAAATAAACAAAATGTTGGAAATTTTAAAACAGGTAATTAGTTTAATTCGATAATTAAACATTATTTGCATAATCATCCTAAGCTTTATATATCAAACTTGGTCAATTAATACGTCCCAAGAAATATACATACGAAATCTGCTCAAATTAACCAGGATTTTACTGAGTAGCATAACTTGAGTTGCTGAGCTAAGCTCACAATCAAAAGGTTGCCAGTTCGATCATGGAACATTATGAGACATCCTTTCTGGTCCAAAATTACAATCAACTGTCCTTACTTAAAAATTATCTGGTTTTAGTAAGTAAAAACCTATAAAAGTTACTTCCCAAATGCTTTACTTATATATTTTTAACTAATATTTCGGCTAAAATACACTCAATCAAATTCCTAACTCTTTTGGTAATTATCTTTACTTATCTTACTACTTATCTTACTACTATCTTACTACAATACTTATCTTACTAATTATCTTATAATTTGGTTACTACTGAATATATTTGTTAGTGAGCATCAAGTAACGAAAGATGTTATAGATAGGTTCTAGGTATAATCATTGACAATAAATCTACTCAACGGTACAAGTTTCACAGTAGTCGAGTACTATTCTGATTATTTAATCTATGAGTGAACAAAAGCTGACAGCTGATATAACAACAACAATACCAATCACGTGTATTGTTTGTTGTGGTCATAATAGAGCTTCTTCAAGATCTTGTTTAGGTTAAGAATCATCAATCGTGTTTATTTATATGCATAAATTAATGGATTGTTTATATTTTGAGACACACTAGAATTTTTTCAGGTTAATCTAGTATTTAATAATGTAGACAATTTGTGCCTAAGCCTTGTCTGTTTGAATTATACCAGTCGATGGCAAGATACTGACTAAAGAACCAACGTACTTCTTCCTTATACAGGGTAAATTTTACAGGGTTTGATTCACATAACTTTTACTATCACACATGTGGTGTTCGTACACATTTTGTAAAAATAAATCCTTTGATTTGTTACATAAAATCAATTATATTGTTGAAACCCCATATTTTGTTTACAGTAGGCTACATTGCAGTAGCCTGCAATGTTGTACAACTACACCAACACAGTTACGCATAGCAACAACTTTCAGTTTATTGAAGGCGTACCGTATTCATATGTCAAAGTAGGTTTTGAATCTGTACATATGCCAATCAAATCTAAAGATGTTTTTTTTTTATCTGAGTAAGACCAGAGCAGGATCTAAAATATAATTTCCACCACTGACTATTTTATAGTATTTCTTTATCGACGAAATAATAGCTAGATTTTGGTAATAACGCAGGCAGTCGTTTTCTTTCATATAGTTTGTAAATAATTAAATTTAAATGTTAAATTTACCAAACGAAAACCCATTTTAATCATTAATAAAGATATAAGATGTATTCAATACATGTTACAATGAAAATAGGAATTGTGTCTAATTAAACGGTAAATTCAAGAAATTCTATTTATAGAGTCTGCATATTTAACAAAAGCTTTATTTTCAATAATCTACTCATTCAATCAATACATCAAAATTTACCTAAAATCAACATTACTTTTTAAACATATATTAAAAATTCACTCTATTTTTATATTACTGGTATCACATGTATATTTAGTTCTTTCTGGTTTATGAATAACATTTGTTGTGTTTTAAGATAGGCGATACATTGTGTAAACTAATGTTAGAGGTGAATGTTCAATAAAAACAAAGCCCTTCTTCTTCGTTTATCCTAAAGGAAAGTTTATCCGAGAAAGAAACCTAGAACCAAAGACAAATAGATATTGCTTCGAGAAGATATGTTACTGTTTAACAAAAACAAGAGGGTGAAAACAGCCAACTTGAGCTGCAAGATGACCGTGTATGCATCATTCGGCGTGTTTTATACCTTTTTTTGGGCTTTTCATAAATTTATTAACAAGTATTGCACTTAAAAAGGTGCTGATAACGATGAGAAGAACCATTAAACTTTAGTACTCCTAAGAACTCAACTTCTCTATGGACCTTTGAAGGTGAATAACAAAAAAAGTAAAACATAAAACATGTTAGATCAAATAACTACACATATATGTTAGTTATTATACATGTAGAATAGCTATGGTACTGCAAATGATCATGTAAGTCAAGGCCGATTACAGTAATAACGTTCACAATGCCAATGTCTGGCTGAGGTCAATTATTCTGCAATTGACGGGAGGGGGACGCAGAATTGTACACTTCAGAGAGAGAAATATAATATATTGGTACTTAAAAAAGAATGATTTTGGCTATGGACTTCAAAGTAACTTAGATCTACCATGAGATAGGTCTCTCTAAAGTAAGCCTGATTATTGAAGCGGTTGTACCAATAGTTTATTTTGTATCTTCCTGTTATGCACTGTTTCCATATTTCATATAGATTAATACTGTGGCTATTCCATAAGCTTTAGATCTGACGTTGTCTGGTTCGATCCAGAGTGAAGTGACACCCAGAACTATTATTGATGCTCTTGTCAGGGTGTGTATCTTTATCTTGATTCCTGATGGCGTAGAAAATAACAATAATTTAAATATTTGAAAATAAAAATACCAGTAGGACAAAGAGGATCCTAAAACGTCCATCAGACCATTTGGTTAATTCCTCATAAGGATATCATTGCTTTCTGACAAAATGTATTATCACAAAATTTTTTATTACCTGCCAGGCCCAATTTTGAATTTCAAGAAAATAACTTTTACCGTCACGAAACTAAGGCTTTTACAAAATATTTGTGATGGAATAGGAAGTAAAATTTATTTAAATAATTGTAAATAAAAATACCAGTGCGACAAAGAGGTTCCTAAAACGTCCATCAGACCATTTGGTTATATCCTTAGAAGAAAATGATTGATCCCTGACAAAGTTATTATCACTAAATAATTAATAAAGAGCCAGACTCCGTTTTGAATGTCAATAAAATATTAAATAACTTCAACTGTACAGAAAAAAATTCACCATCATAAGACTTAAAGACCAAACAACCTATAAGTCACGAAACGCAGGCTTTCAAAAACTATTCGTGTTCCATTGCTAAGCTTGAAATATTTTCAAATCTTAGCAAAGACATATTTCTTAGAACAGTGAAAGTTTGGGTTTTTTTTACTTTAGATGGACTATATTTATCGCACTTGAAAATCAGTGGTGTAAGAAAAAGGTATTTTAAATAAAAATAGCATTCTTTTATTGACTAGTAGTATACTGAAGTTGCAAGGCACAATGCAAATGCGAGAGCAGTTAGTGACAACGAACAACTCACATGGTAAAAATTAAATACTCTGAATTACATCTCACTACATACACCTGGTACAACATTCTTCCATACCTACTGTGATGCAAGAGGTGGCACAATAGTCTTTCTATGTAGTTTTGAAACATTACTGAATTTATTTTCATTGTTAATCATAAAATACGTTTACTTCAAAAGTATAAATTTAGGGTATATAGTAAAAGGTATAAGCTCAGGTAACCAGATGGCACTGTTTTGTGTATTATTTGCTAGCAGTCAGGTCCCAATGCTAACAGGTTTAGTATGCAAATATGTCAAGGGAAAATGAAATCTTGATAAACTCTTGCTTTTAATCAAACTCTTGACAACACAGGTCTTAATATAATCTCTATATAGGAATAATGTACAAAATATACGTGTCTGTAAGTCATAAGACGAATAATCCCGTGAATGAAAATTTGTATTACTTGAGTTTCTCTCATTTTCTGCATACGAATCAAGCGACATCAGTTTCAAATACGTATATTTTCAAGAAGGACTAAATTTCCCTCAATCAATTATGTTCACGTTTATTTTCCCCCCTAATGTTTATTGAGAATGTATTGTTTTCGTTAACGTTGTTTTTTAATTGAGATTTCGGTTTAAATATCAGTTTTGGGTCCCTCTAAACCCAAAAAGATGATTTTCGAAGTTGTATATGTATTAGTAAGTAGGTGTGTACAGTGTAGGCTTACAGAGGTAACTGTTGTCCAATTTTTTTATTTATTTTGTAATTGCAATTTCGGTGATTTTTCCCATACTATCACGCAACCTTACTCATGATATTGCAAGCTAATTTAACAAAGTATGTACCAGATTGCTGATACCGTTATTTTCATTATTTATTTCGTTCTTATTCGCATAAATGTTCAGTAGATATGACGAATAAAGTGATCCGAGTTCACTAAACACAAATTTAGAACCATACAAAATTTTTCTCAGCCTGTGAAAGGGCAGGTGCCTTAAAATTATAATTATAAAATTTTAAGAAAATATTAAAGGGCAAGTTATTTTAACCTTACCACTTTTCAGCCAAGTCAGTAACACTAACGCATAGCATAAACTACTATGTCTAAATAAATTTCGCATTATAGTTATATATTTAATTATAAAAAAAATTATATATTTAATCATAAAAAATTGAAAATTTGTTTTACTTATCTAAATCTAAAACTCTCTAAAACTTATCTAAAACAAAATTTCTATCAATACGTGAACATTATTGATTGATGGAAATTTGGTTATTCTTGAAAATATACATATTAACGTGCTTAAATATCGATAATTTTGATTAAACAAGTAAATACTGGTTTGAAACATAACCTCAAAAACAAGATTACAGCATTAAATGTATATAAGCAGATCTAATTGTAAATATTATTTAAATAAGACTGAACAACGTTTACCTCAAAAATCCGCCTCGTTAGCTGTCTCTGCTCGTGAAACCACACAACAAGTTATCTCGGTTGCAGAACACGTACACGTTTCTACTGTAACACAGTCGAGTGTGTTAGTTTGTGTTTACAATTGGTGTTTAGCTTCTTGTTAGAAGGTAATAGACAATTTGTATGCTGCAAGCCAGCTCATATGAACACTGTCTGATCTTACAGACAGAATCTGGAGCAAAGCGTAGGCTTGTATTGGTAGGGCTGTGTTACCTCAGTTCCCTTTTGAATTTGCATTGGTTTCATTCTTAGATTTTTTTATAGTGCAATGGGTTGGGGTGAATATTTTTCGTTATATACAGAAGTAGGACAAAGAAGTATTTGTTTTTATAAAGTATTAAGTATTAAATGTATGTGCAAATTCATTGTTCAAATAAGTTGCAGGAGTTAAAATGCAGTACTTAAAAATACAATGTATATGAAACTTTATTAAAATTTCATATAGAGATTTTAAATTATGTAAATTGAAAGTAATTGTATATACTCATGATAAAATCTTACTAGATTTATTTTATACCTTAAAAGTCTCTGTAGGAATTTAAAACTAGTTTTAATAAAAACAATCATAAACAAATAATTATGTTATGTTAGTATGCAGCATCATAAAGCTTTATTTACACCATCCCAAAACTAAAACTTTTCAAAAACAAAGATAAATTATAAATAAACACAACCAATGTTGCCTGAAGGCGTACCTATTGGATTTAGAGCAAAAATTTAGTGAAAAAATTCATAAAAACTTATATGAATGTTTTTTTTTTCGTTTATACGCTTCAATTGGTTGTATTAGTTGTATTGGGTGTATTGTTTTCCCAAACATCACAAACAGATACTTTATTCCAAACTATAAAGCAAATGTTCATCCCATTAGAGAATGGTATGTAAAACATTACCCTTACTCTTTTAGCGAATTTCCCTATAGGGAAGTAGCTATTACCGTAGGTGGCACGGTAAGACCTAGACCCGGTTTACCGATTTACTTTTTCATTTTGATCTCCCCAGAGGCCAAAAACACCATTCGTTTAAATTTTTATATATGTATATATATATAGACTTATATATATATATATATATATATATACGTCCGTGAACGCGATAACTTGAGTAATTTTTGTCCGATTTTGATGAAATTTGGTTTAAAGGTGTAAAGCGGGATAAACTTGAATGAGTTCGCGAACCAGCACGATCGGACCATGGGAACGGGGCTTTACGGGGGGTTTTATGGGTCAAAAATTGGGTTTTCCCACTTTTGACCCTCAAAACACAAAATTTCCCGATTTCTCTTTAGGCCTTTTTAAAAGAGCTTAAAAAACAAATAATTTAGTATATAAAAGTATTTTAGTTCGATTATTAGTAACGGAGAAAATTAAAAAAATTTTAAATTTAAAATTCCCATGTTATTCTTATGGAGAATATTGTCAAATGTTGTAGTTTGCTTGTTTATGGATATATTTTGATCAAACTTGGCAAATTTATTTATTTTGTACTAAGCTATCAATATTTTACTCAAAAACACACTTTATTAGTTTCCTTGTAGCAGCAAACCTAGGTACTCATAAAACCTAATGTTATTAAAATATATTTAACTAAAAATCAATTCAGAAAAATGGAAATTCGCTTAGTCGGCAGGTTTGCTGCGGCGGGGGTATTTATAAATATTTTTATACCCAAGGTGGAATTTTCACAGGTAAAAATAAGGGAAATGAAACGTACAAAAGACTGTTTAGTTTATTATGAAACATTTGTCTCGTCACAGCCAGGCTCTTGGAAGGTCATATAACAAAGAACATTCCTTGAAACAGTGTAAAATGAGCCTCATTATTTGTCATATCTAGTTTCTAAATGTTAGTTACACAACCTGTTTGAATTAGTTAAGTGTTGTAAATTTACTACCTATGATGAAATATTTTTATTTTAATACATCTTTTACAAACAAATGACAGAGTTTATTTTTTATGATTCATTTATTTAGAATTTACATATAAAAATGAAATAATCCTATGCTTTTCAACTTTCAATAGAGACCTTGCAAAGTTTTGTTTTTAATGTCAACATTCAATGTCATAGAATTGTCTTAATGAGTTTTTATACATCTTAAGGTAATTGATTTATAACCCTTTGATCTCTCAGATGGCTTCTTTTTCACAATTTACTTGGTCCACTTTCTTGAATTCCTTGGGGTCTAATGATTTATAATTTCCTAAAACTCTACTAGTATTCTGGTAGTACTCCTCCTCTTCTTCCGGTGTCAAATTCTTCTTTCGGCTCATTAACCAGCTGCAATCTAGACAAAATTAACCAAACATTGTGAAATGGTCTGTTTTTATGTAAACAAATCGGTGTTTATGTCAGACAAGCAAATGGTAGCCTATATTATATGGCAGTTTGTGGCAGGTAAACAAAGTCTGGTAAGAGTATTATAAAGTAGGCACAAGTTACAATAAAACATGTATATGAATCATTTGATGACTCAAGTAATGAAATCTCAACACTATCTCCATACTGGTAATATACAAAAACACATTTTAAGGTAAAATACAAATATTTTCTGCAAATTCGGGTTGTGTCTAGTAATTTTACACTGCAAAACCACAATACTGGTAAACCATGATACCACGATTCTAAAACAAAATTATAAATTTGAAATTTTATGATACCAGACCCTCTCCGAGTTATCGTACTTCATAATATATAAATGTGTTTTTACAAATATTTATTATTTACTAATGTAAGTGCAGCAAAACATACGTTAAACATCATCAATTATTCATTGATTTATCTTGTTTTATTTTATTTTATGAGAAACGATTCATATAGAATTCATCACGAAAGAAAAGGTTTGAAAAACAAACGTGGGGTGAAAATTAGTAAACAAGTTCATTTCAGGGTTAAAAAATTCATTGGTGGCTTAGGAAGATACCCATCTATTAACATACTAACAGCTTAGCATACGTCCTAACTAACATGGGTCTAACATAAGTTAATCTTAGGCTCTACAGAAGTTGGCTGACCTCCCAGTCAGTAAGCCTTCGTTATGTTTCCTGGTAAGTGAGACAATGTCTAGGCCTACACCTCTCATCAATTAGCCTCAATACTAACGGTAAACCACGTTAACAATACCGGTACACCCTATACTGTGAAGTAGTAAAGCATAGTAGTTCGATACTACTAGGTTCCAATGTTTAGTTCTCAGAGTTTTCAGCTATATTCGTTGTCTTATACATTCTTAATCTTTTAAAAATGAGAACTGTATTTTGTTTCATCACTAATAATGTCTTAAGGGTGTAAAACAACGATACAATCCAGTATAGTTATTGAAGTTTAGCATTTATTTTTTTCACTAAAAATACGTTCCTGAACATTGTACGCTCAAGAAACAGTATCTTTATGTCATCATGTGAGGACTAGTTGCCATCCTTTATGGGTTCTCAAGATATAATACCACCTATGAGATGATATTGAGTACTGTATTACATTGTATGATGTATTGTTTCTATTGCTGTTTGGGTATTTTCCCGAGTTTATCTTACCGTAATGAAGAATACCGAAAATGCTTCCGCATCCATGCACCACCGAGTAGTTGATCCTGTCGGTGTCCAAAACGGTGTAAGCACCCTCCACTTCTCCCCAGACTGGAAAGGAAAAAATAAATAATGTTATAAAATATTTGTTTCATGAAGTAGCTTTATTGTGTTTTCAAATAACAGAAAGTCTTTAAATTCGGGTTTAAAAAACGGCAGGAAAAGGGATGTAACATAGGAAACCTTTTCTTAAACTTAAAGAAGATTAAACATATTCTTCACCACAATACTCCACCATACATCACAATACTTTCACCACAATAATTGTTAGCCACTTTACAAACGTTAATTGGTGGCTGAAAGCTACGTATTTCTATCCACTCGACCTCTCCTCCAACTAAAAACATGATTTCGAGCCGGCAAAACTAAATTTTCGTCCCTAGGTACGAAATATACTATTTCACTTTATATTTTTACTATGAAATCGAACCCAGCATTTTGAAAACCAGCTTGGCTACCTAAAATATTTAACAAGAATTTAGCTTGGTTTGAAACTTCTCTTCACATAGTTAAAAGAATATTCGGAAATATTTTAAATAAGAGAGAATTCGATGAATTGTTGAACAGTGCATACCTACTGGTATTAATTGTCTATAATTACTCTAACTACATTGGTTTAGGCTGCCATTTCATTTGTACCTTTCACAATACTATGAAGTCCTTGCTCGCAATAGTTTTCTTGGTAAGTATAGTAATATGATCATGAAATTATAAAAATGTTTTTAAATTAATTTGTCGAAGGAATAAAGATTAACCAGCTTTTCAGCTTATTTTATTTGGAGAAGATGTTGAAAACACTTATATTATTATATTTATTACATTATTTAGGTTTTTTAAGCTTTTGACAATAATAAACGATTGTAAATGTTTGATGATTTTAATAGTTGTAAAGCCAACAAGCACTATATAAATACGATGCCAAATGTATTAGTAGTATTAAAAAACAAGGTGTAAAACATAATGTCATTACATATTTGTGCAGTTTTTCTTTAATCTTAGTAAGAAATTCATGTATACTTGTTTCTGTCTAAATGCATAATTAATCCAACATACTTTATTTTGGGTTTCCATTTCAGTGTACATTTTATCTTGACCCTAGTCAGAGTTCAATATTGTTTGTAAAAATAAAAGGAAATGTTTTCATAATTTTTCCCGAAGATAAAAGATTTTGTACATTGAGAAACCCGTTAAAGATAAGCTGCTAAATATCTAAGCTAGTAAATGTCTAAATTGAAAATTGAAATTACAACTCCTTGCCAGTGCAAGAATGATATATGATATCATATATAATATATATATATGATATATGGATTTGATTATATGAATAGCTTAGATAGCCCCAATATGGAATTGGAAATTCTTAAATAGATAAATATGAGAGCACATTTCTCCCTCAAAGAACGAGGTTTTTCTTGCAAGGGTTTTTCTTGCAAGGGGTTTTCTTGCAGGGTTTTTCTTACTAGTTGTCTTATTGAGGTTCAGAATTATATTGTATTAGGAAAAATAACTCTTTCTACTATGGACACCACTGATTTACTATGTTTTCCAAGAGTAAAAAAGGTGCAGGGGCTACGATATGACTCTTAAAAATAATGTTCTCTTTTGTTAAAATTGTATTTGTACGTAACAGTTTTCATGTAATACTGAACTTTGTATCTCATGTTAGTTGGCATTTACGGTTCTTTCCTGACAAAGACCCTACGCTATCATTGACCTGGCTAGATATACAGCTCATTCCCTATTCAATAATCATTCTTCATTTAGTTTGGGTTGAAAGAACCCATATTTGTATCTTTATAAAAAATAGTACAGTATAAAAATATAGCAAAAGGGTTTTTAATGATTTAAATTTGGACCCAGCCGTCATATCGTCCATTGGACCTGGCTATACGTGCGAAACAATCACTATAATATTTATCTTGAATAATCTTTTATCAGTATTTGCATTTGAATGTCTCTTAAACGACTCTTCTTCGAAAATAATGATCAAATGCAACAGAGGAGTTTGTTTCCAAGCAGGTTGACTATTTTTTCCTTCTAGTCTATACATCCCTAGATGCTAGGCTCTGCTCCAGGATTGTTTTTCACATCAATTCAGGCTAGTTTTTAAGGTTATAGCTTAGACAAAATCCATTTGTAATTGGTGGGATTCGAACCCGGAACCTCAAAGACTAAATGTTTGTATACTAGCACTAGGACTAACTCACTCCCACTGGTCATTAATTAGACCTGGCTAAATTAACAGAGTTACCAACAAATCTACACAAGGTGCATCGACTATTCTAAAAACATCCTTCACATTTAGGTATAATCCTTGGACACCTATTTTCAACTGTGATACAATGTTACAATAGTTTTGTTTTTTAGGGGTTGGCTGCTATCGCCTCAGTCAGTGCATTGGAAAACGGACCTCGATGGAAGTTCCCTAAGTTCATCTGTTCTTTGACCTGGGGTTTGAACGTGTACAATCCCGTCCACTACGTCGTTCCACAGTTCCTCTTCAATTTTGGATGGAACAAAATCTATTGCCCTCTCTACCTCAAGCCGATGATGAGAAGGTGTGACAAAGTAGGTCCCTTCGTCGTCGATCAGGTGAAACACACTAAAACGTACACTTTGCAAATGAAAAAATCACCAGACGAAACCACTAAACTAAGTTGTCTTGATAAAGCGCCCCCTCAGTAACCCTAGGATGGACCTCAGCATTGAGGATTCAGGATTGTAATATCTTCTTGATTGTTTCATAATGTCATTGATAAATACCTTTAAAATGACCAGTTCAAATGTTTTACTACCTTTTCCCAATACACTACATACTATTCAGTCATAAGAACCTTTTTTCACAATTCATTACACACCATTTAAAATATAGTTATTATAAGGCTCAAAGAGGTTTAGATTTTTAAGTTAACAGCATGTAGTGTAGGTTATAAATCTATTGGGTAAATAGTATGGGCATGAGTTTCGATACATTTATTATTTTAGTAAGTATTGTTTGGATTCTAAATACTCTCTACTGTACAGCAAACGGCAACTGTTGTGAACGTCACAGTTTTATCATCATTTCTAAATAATTAATTGATCGTCAAAAAAGAAACAACTACTTAGAACGCCTAGTTATGGTTGAGTCGTAATCAATGACATTTTAATTACCATTCGCAGGAGTGCCAGATCGTAAGCTTTAATAACACCTTAAAAGTAAAAATTGATTAAGTAGTACGATTGGAAAAGGGGTGTAACAGAGGAAGCCCGTATTGTATAATGATACATATTAAACAGTCAACGGTATTCCTTAATCGAAATGATAGACCTCCAAGGTCACTGCGGATTGACAAATCTAGGTCTTCGGGTGATGGTTGTAAGCGTCTTCGTTGTTGAAAGAGTAAAACTAGAGGCCACCGTTTCAGATGCGTAGCAGTTATCCATCTTCGGAGTTAACAACTATTTAACCACTAATGAGTTAAATACTACTAACTACTGCAGTATTGAATTGAATAGTAGTTCGCCCCAAAGATGGATAGCTGCTACACACCCGAAACGGTGACCTCTAGCTAGATGACTCTTTCAGCAACGTGGTCATCACCCGTAGATTTGACAACGGTCATCTCTGTCTAAACTTACAGTATCAGCATATTAAAGGTATACTTACTGGGAATTGTGAATTTCACTTTAAACTTGCCCTCATTTTTGGTTACGTTCGCTGGTGCTGCGTTGGCGTCTAATCTTTCCCACTTGTTGTTACTGCAAAACATAAGCCAAATTATTCAACTGATACATCAAACAGCACAGTGATCACCAATGGCTAGTGTGTCGGCTAATATCACAGTGTTGGTCCTCAAAAATATCATAAGCAATTCATGCTTGTCTTTTAGAGTAAAATTAGAACAAATAAGTGAGTGGTTCAAGTGTTCATATTTAAATGTTTACCGTTATGAGGGTTGACAATATGATTTACAGGACCTAAAATATTTTAGGAAGTGTTTTGCTCACCCAGTAATTTTTCCATAGGAATCTATGAGTTTTAGTGTTATTGGGAATAGGCCTATTTTGTGAACAAGTCTCAACTTGGTGCAATAAAACTAAACCTTAAATAACTAGAACAATGCATGCTGATCGGCAATGAAGTAAAGAAAACAGGGATAATATCATATGAGCTGGTTTTGTTGTTCAAAAGTGTCTCACGGTCGTTGTAACTGATTGGGGTACGTTAAAAAACACCCTGTATATAAGGAATTTCCAAAAAAATGTCATGTTTTGACATTTTACTGACACCTAGACGAATAGTCAGTGAACTAACAATAATAATCCTTATTAATTAATGAACTGTCTTTATCAGAATACATTAACTGAACAATATAAATATTTCCCAATTCCTTTTTTGTATCAAGAACTAGGTTACCTAAATTATCACACAGCCCTCTATTATAATGAATGACACTGCGTATTTTTACGAGTTAACACATCAACGTTTACTTGAAATTCCAAAGAAACATTTTGGTTTAAATATTTATAACTATTTAAAATTTAAATGCAATGAATGTTATAAAACTAAACCTGCCATAAAAAAGATATACAATCTAAGCAATCTATCATTTGTGGTTACAGTAGAAAATACAAGTTCTACGCACCTTATAGATAAGGTAGACCTTTAATACACGCAAATCAAGGTTTTCCAAGAAACAACGATGCAAAAATAACATACAAGTCATATTTCCTACACAGAATTTAAAATCCATAATGTATAATGATATTCAATACTTACTCCTCGTTGAACTGGCCAGTCTGCACCAAAATGTTATTGTTCAGGGGGATGTATTTGTAGTTAGCAGCCATACATCTGCCCTTTCCTTGTAGTATTTCAGTATCGTAGCTGGATTGGACGTACCATTTACCAAGGAACTAACACATAAAAAAATAATTTCAATTGAAATTCCATCTTTTAAGTAGTAAATGTACTTTCTTAACTATCAAATTTCAATAATAATTTTTCTTGTAAATTCTAGTTCAATAATGTAGGTACTACCAAATGTTAGTGGTTTATTTTATGATAAAATTAACGATAACTAGAGTATAACAGTAAGAAAACACAATGTACGATAAAATCACTTGTCATTTAAAGACCAAACAGATTACTAACCCATTAAGAGGGGTTTAGGTACAAAACCCTAATGGAACTTCTTCTCCCATCTACTCTTAATAATAGCAAGATAGCTATCTTATGACTTCTGAAAATAGATGTTCCCATTTTTATACATTTGTTCCACTTTATCTCTCTATTAGCCTACTAATTTTGAGACAAAATATGTTTAAGTAATCTCAGGAGACTTTATTTTTCTTTAAAGCTCGCACATTATGAAATATATTTATTGTGATTTTAAATCGACGCTGAACAAAATAAATGTTATCAAAGTTTAGTAGTACAGATTTGTATTCGAGTAGAATAGCTTTTCATATCTTTTTATATTCATGGTTTATTGTTTTCCATAACTTCTCTACCCCACTGGTATTAGAGTAGTATTAGTAGGAAAGCCAGCCTTTAAATCTTCAGTTATTCAAGAAAATGTATGTATTATATGAAAACAAACTATATGAAACACCAGCTTATCACATCAATTTCGCTTATTAACTGTTTTAACGGGTAGATAACGCTATTGATTTTTGGCTTCCATGGTAAATATTTCTTCTGCGTGAACCAGTTGTAGCTAATTCGTTATTCTATTATAACCTATTTAGTGTGACAACTCAAAGAGTTTGCTACTGACAAAATATATTTCATTACTTCATTAACGACTCTTTGATAATTAATTGATATGATTATGCCACAAATACTACTAGAACAGGCCCAGTGCTGATCAAAATATAAAGAAATGATGTTACTCGTGCAAACGTAAAATTTATTTAACATTGCTTAAATGGAACTGTCTAAATCACATGTTAATGCTATTAGTATAGGATTTGGGCATGCAACATCATTTGCTTATGTTTATGATCCATACCGGTTCTGTTCAAGTATTCGTGGATTATGCTATGGTTTTAATTACGTTGATGGCACAGAGATGTAATCTTTCTTGAGTGAACTAGGTTAATTGAATATTAAGGTATTCAAAACTAAGCAGTTTTTAACGAAAATACACTCTGTCAGTAGTGTTCAACAATTAGTATTCAACAATGATCATGTTCCTCTCAAAATTGCCACAAACTTTGCCACAGATGGGAGTGGCATTGATATTGTTCAATTTGGTCCATGAACTGCTTTTATGTTTCTTATACACCTTTTGACAAATTCAACTATACCCATTCGCTATTTTATAGCTGTGAAAAGCTATGTTGGGATAAAACAACACTGAGGCCTTAAATCGCTTCAAACTAAAGACGTTGTAGTCAATTACAGCTTACCGAATCAATATCAGAAAGGAAGTTCTGCTGCGCTGCTAGATCAGGACATCCTCCAAGTTTGGGCAGTTGGAAGGCAAAGGTAAGCATTTGTGTTGCTGAAGAAATAATCAGAAAGGTCAAAAACCTCAACGGATCACATCGACTCAGCATTGTGTAACTCAGCAAATTCTGGAATCAATACAGGGAAATCTCAATGAAATATCCTAAACTAATGGATTTTATATTTTGTACGGTTTTTATTACATTTTAAAATGTATTGTAAACACTAAATAACGTTATGGCCATCTTAATATCTGTTGGACTTATTCTATGGCCGCGACAAGTATACAGGTGGTTAAAAGGGAACTCTTTATGGTCAAAACATTTTGACTCCCCTCTCTCTCCTAAGTCCTAATTGAGTTCATTCTAACTAAGCGAGCTAAATAAATCAACAAAGTACAACGGTTTCATATTACGTACACTAAAGAAACGGTTTAAACTTCCGGCCAACAGTAAAGGATGGAAATTTTCCCCAAAAAAAAACGTAATTTACGTTATGTATATTATTTTTACGCATACACGGAAAATAATAAACCCAATTTATATCAGTGCAAATTAAATACGTATTATGTCTCGTTTGCTATTAAATAAATTAAAACTTTACAGAATGGGACACCTGTTGATGTTTAGTGTTTGCTAGCTGCCTCGTTCATACCCACCCTTTTTACCCAAAAACTGAATCTATTGGGTTTAAAATCGGTTCTGATTTCTTTTGTTCCTGTTTTTTAAATGCTAAGTTAACATCGGCTGTAACCATAATTGTTCATTTTAGAAAAAACCAAATTTTTCTAGACGTTTTGGTAACCAAAAACTACGTTTTGGTAACTGTTTGCTAACTGAAAACTACTAACTATTGTTCGTATTTAAGTGTAAAATAATTTAGAAGTTAAAAGAAAACAGGTGTTTTTACAGCAGCTACAAAACGTCAGTTACGTTTGGCTACATGTGTATGACACATAAAAGACTGTGTGTGTGTTTGTGTGTGCAAGAAAAGAAGTGTTTAAAAAGTTATAAATATTAACCTTTATTCAAGTCTAAATTTCCCTTTGTAAGTTTTAACGTTACTAACAAGAAATGTAATCAGGTGCCAGGGCTTAACTTACAGAGGTATATACGTCTAAAAGGGAATCTTTGCTTGTAGGTAGTAAGAGGAAAATCGATGAAATGCAAAAAACTGACTAAAATAACAGTTTCTACAAGATGAGAACGACAACAATGAAAACAATTCATGAATTGAACCAAAAAAATATGTAGTTACATTTTATAATTGCAGTGATTTGGGTGTTATTACTTAATTTTGAATAATAACATTGTAAAAAGAATAGTCAATTAACTTTCT